GTATACATACCAAATCAAAGTAATTTTGGAAGACGACTTTCCTATCTATCTATCTATCTATCTATCTAGTTATCTATCTATCTGGTGTGGCAGGACGCTGAGAAATTGATTGAGTAGTAATGATTTTTTTTGTCATGTATTAATAATTTTTATCTTGAAGTTTAATGAGTTTTCTAACAGTATTGATAAATTGTTTATTTTTTTCATTACTTTCCTACGAGGTTTAATTATTTATCGAAGGAATTTAATTATTTTTTATCTGTTTTAATTATTTTTATGTCTCTTATTTATTTTTACACGTTCTAATTATTATTTTTTTTTTTTTTATTACCTTTTCATGGGTTTAATTACTTTTTCATTTGTTTACCTGTGTTTTGACGTTGGTTTAACTATTTTTCCATGGGTTTATTAATTTTCCATCAGTTTTAATTATTTTGCCATAGGTTTAATTACTTTTTCATTTGTTTAACTGTATTTTGACGTTGGTTTAACTATTTTTCCATGGGTTTAATAATTTTCCATTAGTTTTAATTATTTTGCCAAAGGTTTATTTACTTACCTATAGCTTTAAGTTATTTTTATGGGGTTAAATTACTTTAAATTTCTCTTATTATATTTGTACATTTTAATTACCTTTCTATGGTTTCTCTCACGTTCCCTTTTTTTTTCCATTTCTTAATTATTGTTTTTTATTTGAATATTTCTCCTGTCCATGAATCACATCCCTTGTGTCACTCCTTGATTTGTCTCTCTGTCTGCCTGTCTGTCTGTCTGCCTGTCTGTCTGTCTTTCTATCTGTTAGTTTATCTGTGTGTCTGTCTGCGTATCAATTAATTTCTCAATCTGCTGTTCTTCCCTTCACTCGATATGTCCATTTATTTGTCCAATTTTCAGTCCGTTGGTATGTTTTGTTGTATGTTTTATTACTCGCCTTTATATCCGTTTGTTTCTCTGTTGGTATGTCTGGGCGCTCTCTGTTGTCTGTCTGTCTGTCTCTGTCTGTCTTTGTGTCTGTCACCACCACCATACCTCGGTAAGTGATGACCCAATCAGGCACAGAGAAGGTACAGTGAGTGACCGACCCCTCCCTCCCTCCCTCCCTCCCTCCTTCCTTCCCTCCCTCTTTCTCGACCACCCTCTGGACCTCCCTCCCTACTTCGTTCCTTCTCGACCACCCTCCCTACTTCCCTCTCGCTGGTCCCTCCTTCCTCCCTCCATTCTCGTCCCTCCTTCCCACCATTTATCTTGACTCTCCCTCCACCCTGCTTCTTGTACTCTTAGTTATGGTATGTGAACCATAGCCCAGGACTACCCCCCTTTAAACAACCTGGTCGACACTTAACATTAACACCTGGTCAACACTTAACATTAACACCTGGTCAACTCTTAACATTAACACCTGGTCGACACTTAATATTAACACCTGGTCGACACTTAATATTAACATCTGGTCGAAACTTAACATTAACACCTGGTCAACACTTACATTAACACCTGGTCAATTCTTAACATTAACACCTGGTCAACCCTTAACATTAACACCTGGTCGACACTTAACATTAACACCTGGTCAACACTTACATTAACACCTGCTCAATTCTTAACATTAACACCTGGTCAATTCTTAACATTAACACCTGGTCAACCCTTAACATTAACACCTGGTCAATTCTTAACATTAACACCTGGTCAACACTTAACATTAACACCTGGTCAACCCTTAACAGTAATACCTGGTCAACTTTTAACAATAATACCTGGTTAACTCTTAACATTAACACCAGGTCAACTCTTACCAATAACACTTGATCAATACTTAACATTAACACCTGGTCAACACTTAACATTAACACCTGGTCAATACTTAACTTTAACCTTTAATTGTCACTTAACATTAACACCTGTTAAACTCTTCACATTAAACCCACACACAACGCTTCCGTGATGCCTGCTGGACCACCACTCCACGACCACCTGACGGAGACACGATGATCCTCCCCATACTGACCAGATAATATGTAAATAATATTGATGATGTGTTTAAGGTATATCCTTCCTTCCTATGGCTTTAGTAAGCCCCTTTATAATATTTATACTATATATACTTGCCACACTTGCCAGATGCTTCTGGTGTTATTGTACAGGGGTACCTAGTGACAGCACTAGGATCCCGCTTCCTCTATCAAGGAATAAACAGTTGAAATTGAATTGAAATTAACATAAAGAGCCAATTCAGGGGTTCACAGTTAACACCACACACCGACACACAAGTTGTCTAACAAAGACACTGTTGATCACAATTTGGGTCTGTCATAAACATCCCTTAAACCTGTAATAAGGAAAGAGCTTGTTGATGAATTTGACGCAAGTAGATAAGTGCAAACAGGAAATTATCATTCCATTGTTTACAATGATGAGATGTATCAAGTGAAACATGTATATGGAGCAAGTAACAAGCTCTTTTGATTACAAGGCGTTGTAACCGCTAGACTAGGATTAGGATAGAAGTACATACAGTAAAAAAAGTATCGCACAGGGAGGGTCTGCTGACTTTCGTAATGATCCATACATCACCTGATGTGTTCATATTCAGTTATAACATCAACTATATATACGGCAGGATACGTCGTTAGCAACATGTATGTGAGGACACCCTCAGGCAAGGACAGCAGGACTACCACCATAACACAGGACCAACACCATATTCCATCATCCCTCCTCCCTGGTGTCATATTGTTTCGCACATAATCCGTGGGATACTTTTTTTTATTGTATGTACCTCTGGCAGTATATCCGTCAAGCAGATGTGAACAAAACTAAATGTAAAGTGTGTAGTCAAACATATGGCCACACACTTGAACACTACGCCCTTGACTGTGTGAAGATTGAACCCTTTAGGGGCAGATCCCAAGCACATTGTGTGTGAATGGCACAACACATTATATCTAATTACAATATAGCCGACATATTAATAGTGTATCCACTTTCTTACACTCAGTAGCTATATCATTCCCTATATATAGTGTAGAACTAAATACACAATGTACTTGAATACATCTCACGCAAAAGTGAATAACAAAGTGTGCGGCCAGACATATATATATATATATATATATATATATATATATATATATATATATATATATATATATATATATATATATATATATATATATATATATATATATATATATATATATTTTTTTTTTTCTATAAAGATGTTAATAAGGCATATTAGCTTTCAAAACAATAGATATACGTATAAAATAAATAATGTAAATAGTGAAATATCTATTAATAAGGTTTGATTAGTATGTAGTGAAGGAAATAGTTATATTATATAGAGATATCAGTAGAGAACGAATAGTCACCTGGGAACTAATTAAGCTTTCTCACCTGGACAAGAACAAGACTTGCCCCTTCGTTCCCCTCTTCTCTTACTACTCTCTGCTTCTCCCCTCACCCTTCCCCTTTCCTTTGCCGTCTCCCTTCCCTTCACCCTCTCCCCTCCCCTCCCACCTCCCCTACCCTCTCCTCCCCTGTCGCTTCACTTGTCAGGAGCCGAGACAGATCACTGCTTCGTCGAGGTCCATAAGATTTTTTTTTTCAACTGGTGCTTACGGAAGTCTAGAGCCAACAGGAGTATGTTGAAGGGGGGAGGGGAAGAAGGGAGGAAATGTAGACGGGGGGAGGAGGTAAAGTAAAGGGAAGCAAAGGGAGGTAAAGTGAGGGGAAGGAAGGTAAGGAAGAGGGAAGGGAGGTAAAGAAAAGAAAATGTAAGGGAGGTAAAGTAGAGGGAAGGGAAGAGTGGTAAAGAAGGGGGGAGAGAAGGAAGGTCAAGTAAGGGGAGAGAAGGAAGGTCAAGTAAGGGGAGAGAAGGAAGGTCAAGTAAGGGGAGAGAAGGAAGGTCAAGTAAGGGGAGAGAAGGAAGGTCAAGTAAGGGGAGAGAAGGAAGGTCAAGTAAGGGGAGAGAAGGAAGGTATGTGGGTAATGAAAGAAGTTGAATTAATGCTCAATTATGTGATTATTATGTGTGTGTGTGTGACAGCAACAGTAGTGACAGCAACAGTAATTACAGCAACATTAGTTATACCAACAGTATTGACAGTAGCAGCAACAGCAGTGACAGCAACAGTAGTGACAGTAGCAGCAACAGCACTGACAGCGACAGTATCAGCAACAGCAATGATAGCAACAGTAGTTATTAACAGTATTACAGTAGTAGCAACAGCAGCGACAGCAACAGTATTGACAGTAGCAGCAATAGCACTGACAGCGACAGTAGCAGCAACAGTAGTGACAGCAACAGTGACAACAACAGTAGTGACAGCAACAATAGTAACAGCAGCAGTAGTGACAGCAGCAGCAAAAGTAGTGACAGCAACAGTAGTGACAGTAGCAGCAACAGTGACAACAACAGTAGTGACAGTAGCAGCAATAGCAGTGACAACAACAGTGGTGACAGCAACAGTAGTGACAGTAGCAGCAATAGCAGTGACAACAACAGTGGTGACAGCAACAGTAGTGACAGTAGCAGCAACAGTGACAACAACAGTAGTGACAGTAGCAGCAACAGCATTGACAGCAACAGTAGTAACAGTAGCAGCAACAGCAGTAACAGCAACAGTAGTGACAGCAACAGTAGTGACAGTAGCAAAAGCAGTGACAACAACAGTAGTGACAGTAGCAGCAACAGCAGTGACAACAACAGTAGTGACAGTAGCAGCAAGAGCAGTAACAGCAACAGGTGTGACAGTAGCAGCAACAGTAGTGAGAGCAACAGTCGTGACAGTAGCAGCAACAGCAGTGACAACAACAGCAGTGACAACAACAGTAGTGACAATAGCAGCAGCAGTGACAACAACAGTAGTAACAGTTGCAGCAAGACCAGTAGCAGCAACAGTAGTGACAGCAACAGTAGTGACAGCAACAGTAGTGACAGTAGCAGCAACAGCAGTGACAACAACAGTAGTGACAGCAACAGTAGTGACAGCAACAGTAGTGACAGCAACAGTAGTGACAGTAGCAGCAACAGCAGTGACAACAACAGTAGTGACAGCAACAGTAGTGACAGTAGCAGCAACAGTAGTAACAGCAACAGTAGTGACAGCAACATTAGTGACAGTAGCAGCAACAATAGTAACAGCAACAGTAGTGACAGCAACAGTAGTGACAACAACAGTAGTGACAACAACAGTAGTGACAGCAACAGTAGTGACAGCAACAGTAGTGACAGCAACAGTAGTGACAGCAACACTAGTGACACAGCAAAGCAACAGTAGTGACAGCAACAGTAGTGACAGTAGCAACATCAGTGACAACAACAGTAGTGACAGCAACAGTAGTGACAGTAGCAGCAACAGTAGTAACAGCAATAGTAGTGACAGTAGCAGCAACAGTAGTGACAGCAACAGTAGTGACAGTAGCAGCAATAGTAGTAACAGCAACAGTAGTGACAGCAACAGTAGTGAGCAACAGTAGTGACAGTAACAGCAACAGTAGTGACAGTCACAGCAACAGTAGTGACAGCAACAGTAGTGACAGTAGCAGCAACACATTAACTGCAACAGTGAGAGCAACAGTAGTGACAGTAGCAGCAACAGTAGTGACAGCAAATAGTGACAGTAGCAGCAACGGTAGTGACAGCAACAGTAGTGACAGTAGCAGCAACAGCAGTTACAACAACAGTAGTGACAGTAACAGCAACAATAGTGACAGCAACAGTAGTGACAGTAGCAGTGACAGTAGTAACAGCAACAGTAGTGACAGCAACAGTAGTGACAGTAGCAGCAGCAGTGACAACAACAGTAGTGACAGTAGCAGCAAGAGCAGTAACAGCAACAGTAGTGACAGCAACAGTAGTGACAGTAGCAGCAGCAGTGAATACAACAGTAGTGACAGTAGCAGCAACAGCAGTGACAACAACAGTAGTGACAGTAGCAGCAACAGCAGTGACAACAACAGCAGTGACAACAACAGTAGTGACAATAGCAGCAGCAGTGACAACAACAGTAGTAACAGTTGCAGCAAGACCAGTAGCAGCAACAGTAGTGACAGCAACAGTAGTGACAGCAACAGTAGTGACAGTAGCAGCAACAGCAGTGACAACAACAGTAGTGACAGCAACAGTAGTGACAGCAACAGTAGTGACAGCAACAGTAGTGACAGTAGCAGCAACAGCAGTGACAACAACAGTAGTGACAGCAACAGTAGTGACAGTAGCAGCAACAGTAGTAACAGCAACAGTAGTGACAGCAACATTAGTGACAGTAGCAGCAACAATAGTAACAGCAACAGTAGTGACAGCAACAGTAGTGACAACAACAGTAGTGACAACAACAGTAGTGACAGCAACAGTAGTGACAGCAACAGTAGTGACAGCAACAGTAGTGATAGCAACACTAGTGACAGTAGCAGCAACAGTAGTGACAGCAACAGTAGTGACAGTAGCAGCAACATCAGTGACAACAACAGTAGTGACAGCAACAGTAGTGACAGCAATAGTAGCAGCAAAAGTAGTGATTGCAACAGTAGTGACAGCAACAGAAGTGACAGCACCAGTAGTGACAACAAGAGTAATGACAGCAACAGTAGTGTCGGCAGCAACAGCAGTAGTGACAGCAATAGTAGCAGCAAAAGTAGTGATTGCAACAGTAGTGACAGCAAGAGTAATGACAGCAACAGCAGTAGTGACAGCAGCAACAACGGCAGTGACACCAACAGTATTGACAACAACAACAGTGGTGACAGCAACAGTAGTAACAGCAACAGTAGTGACAACAACAGTAGCAGCAACAGTACTAACAGCAGTAACAGTGACAGCAGCAGCAACAGCACTGACAGCAGCAGTAGTGTCAGCAGCAACAACAGCAGTGACAGCAACATTAGTTACAGCAACAGTAGTGACAGCAACAGTAACAGCAACATTAGTGACAGCAACAGTATTGACAGCAACAGTAGTTACAGCAGCAGGAACAAAAATGACAGCAAACAGTAGTGACAGCAGCAGCAGTGCCAGCGACAGTAGTGGCAGCAGCAGTAGTGCCAACAACAGTAGTGTAAGTAACAGCAGTGCCAGCAACAGTAGTGGCAGCAGCAGCAGTGCCAGCAACAGTAGCGGCAGCAGCAGCAGTGCCAGCAACAGTAGTGGCAGCAGCAGCAGTGCCAGCAACAGGTGGCAGCCAGCAACAGTAGTGGCAGCAGCAGCAGTGCCAGCAACAGTAGTGGAAGTAACAGCAGTGCCAGCAACAGTAGTAGAAGTAACAGCAGAGCCAGCAACAGTAGTGGCAGCAGCAGCAGCCAGCAACAGTAGTGGCAGCAGCAGCAGTGACATCAACCTTTGTGGAAGTAACAGCAGTGCCAGCAACAGTTTTGGAAGTAACAGCAGTGCCAGCAACAGTAGTGGCAGCTGCAGCAGTGCCAGCAACAGTAGTGGCAGCAGTAGTGCCAACAACAGTAGTGGAAATAACAGCAGTGCCAGCAACAGTAGTGGCAGCAGCAGCAGTGCCAGCAACAGTAGTGGCAGCAGTAGTGCCAACAACAGTAGTGGAAATAACAGCAGTGCCAGCAACAGTAGTGGCAGCAACAGCAGTGACAATATCAATAGTGGCAGCAGTAGAAGTGACAGGATCAGCAGTGACAGCAACAGTATTGACAGCAGCTGGACTGACAGCAACTGTAGTGACAGCAGTAGTAGTGGTGGCAGCAGGAGTGACAGCAGCAGCAGTGACAGCAGCATTAGTGACATCAGTAGTAGTGACAGCAGCAGTAGTGACAGTAGCAGTAGTGACAGCAGCAGTAGTGACGGCAGCAGGAGTGACAGCAGCAGTAGTGACAGCAGTAGCAGTATTGACAGCAACAGTAGTGACAGCAGCAGTAGTGACAGCAGCATAGTGACTGCAGCAGTAGTGACACAGCAGTAATGACAGCAACAGTAGTGACAGCAGCAGTAGTGACAGCAGCAGTAGTGATAGTAGCAGTAGTGACAGCAACAGCAGGAGTGACAGCAGCAGTATTGACAGCAACAGTATTGACAGCAGCAGGGTGACAGCAACAGCGTGACACAGGAACAGCAGCAGGAGTGACAGCAGCAGTGACAGCAGCAGGAGTGACAACAGCATTAGTGACGGCAAAGTGACAGTGACATCAGCAGGAGTGACAGCAGCAGAAGTGACAACAGCATTAGTGACGGCAGCAAGAGTGACAGCAGCATGAGTGACAGCAGCAGGAGTGACAGCAGCAGAAGTGACATCAGCAGGAGTGACAGCAGCAGAAGTGACAACAGCATTAGTGACGGCAGCAAGAGTGACAGCAGCATGAGTGACAGCAGCAGGAGTGACAGCAGCAGAAGTGACATCAGCAGGAGTGACAGCAGCAGAAGTGACAGCAGCAGGAGTGACAGGACAACAGGAGTGACAGAACAGCAGGAGTGACAACAACGGCAAAGAGGAGGGTGATGGGGTGCTGGGTAGAGTAACACCGTAAACGAGAAGGGAAACAGTGTCTTATTTTAGTTAAGTGTCCCTATGGGAGAGTCTTACAGCTGAGCCTAGCGTTATGTAGGCTCTAGGATCAGATAGCATCTCCAGGAGTGTCTTACCACTGAGCCTAGCGGTATGTAGGCCATATGGCGAGGTGGGCTCCATAGTAGAGCCTCATTGCTGAACTTAACGTTATGTATGCTCTAGGATCAGGTCGGCTCTTCCAGATGAGCCTCACTAGCGTTATATAATTTTTGGGGTCAGATAGGTTCCTACAGAAGAGTCTTATCACCGTTATAATAGGCTCCAAGGTGAGTAAGGCTCCAGAGTAGAGCCTCATTATAGCTATATAGGCTCCAGGGCTAGGTAGGATCCCCCGGGAGAGTCTCACTCCTGAGCCTAGCGCTGTATAGGCTCTCGGCCACGGTTGTCGACACTCGCCTGGCCATTTATACTAACCAAGGCTGACCCTGTTGGCCCGTCCTCGCCCCTGCTAAGACTAGGAGAGAGAGAGAGTATATTAGATAGAAATAGGAGGCAAAGACAAATACAGACACAGACACATTAACAGACAGAAGGCACAGACACATAAACAGACAGAAGACACAGATTCATTAACAGACAGAAGACACAGATACATTAACAGACAGAAGACAGACACATTAACATACATAATAAGGGAACTATTTATATTAAGACGCGTGTTGGGACCAAACACTACTCCTCACAGACAGACAGACAGACAGACAGACTAACTGGAGGGAGGGTCACGTTCTGATGGTGACAACTGATCCCTCTATGTGTGTGTGTGTGTGTGTGATGATAAACAAGAGACGTACATAAGATTTATATCATGAGCCAAACGGACAAGAAAACAAATCAGTGATCGAAGAGAGAGAGAGAGAGATGAAGGAAATGGGAAAAAAAGGAAAGAAAGGATGTAAGAAGGTGGAAAAACCAGGGAGGTAGTAAGGGCGTGAAGGAAGAGGGAAGGATGGAGAGGAAGAGGTGGTGGAAGACAAGAGGAGAAAGGGTGATAGGGGGGGGGATGTAAGGTAGAAGGCGAAGGAGGAGGAAGAAAAAGGATTTGGAAAAGAGGGAGAAGGCAGAGAAGAGGGATTTGTCGGAAGAAAGGGAGGGAGGTAGATAAGTAAGAAGAGACAAAGGGAGTGATGCAGTGAGGGAGAGGGGGAGGGAGAGAGGGAGGGAGGGGCGGAGGAAAGAAGGGAGGGAGGAAAGGAAGGAAGAGAGGGAGGGAGGGAGGGAGGGAGGGAGGGGCACTTGTACCCACATAAATTATCCGACACGCTGTCAAAGGTCCCCAGCACACGATACTCTCCTGGGGAACTCCTCCCTGATACTGCTGCTGTTATTACAGTTACTACTGTTACTACTTTTACTGTTGTGACTACTGTTACTACTGTGGCAACTACTACTACTACTACTATACATTAAGTAACACACATTAAATTACACACTCATTAACTAGCACATATTGAGCAACACATGTGAAGTAGCACACACACACACACACTCTCGGTAGCACACGTTAAGTAGCATACATTAAGTAACACACACTCGGTAATACAGGCTGTTAAGTAACACCCACCCCGCTACTGTTCCCTGTCTCTACAAACACACGAGAGACTGTCCTTTTTGTCCGTCTCGTATCATTGTTGTTTTTGTGTCCTCCTCCTCCTCCTCCCCCTCCTCCCCCTCCTCCTCCTCCTCCACCAATAAGACAGCTATTACATATAATGACGTAATGCATTGACTATAATGAATCTTTAGTTAAAGTACAACTTATTCACCTGGATACAATAATTCAGCAATAAGTAAGACAACTTAACCCTTGGCTATGATAGCTTAGACCTTAACTACATTAATCTAGCCCTTAATTACAACAACTTAACCTTTGACAATGATAACTTCGCCCTTGAGTACAATAACTTAGCCCTTGAGTACGACAGGTTAACCGAGGATAACTATTCACTTAAACTACTCGAACAGAATCACTTTAAGTAATAGTCTTCATGAGCGACATTCACTACTAAGGAGTAAGTTTATGCTTCCTTTCATCTGACGTTTATATTTTATGTAAACATTTTCTTTATTTATGTCGCAGTTTGGTATAACACTGAACTTCTTCCTTTAATCTATATTTGATAGTTTTTTCTTAGTGCACACTGTAAATCTTCGAGTGTTCTGTTCTATTTTTTCATACTTTCGGTGATTTTCATTTTATTTTATCAAACGCTTAAGAGTACCTAGAAAGATCATGGCATAAAAATTACCAATAAATATTTTATTTTAATGTTTCTGTGACTAAACAATAAAAAAAATAATGTTCATTAATTTTTAAGAGACTTAAAGGATTCCTGTGGTGGCGTGCGACACAGGGCGGGAGATGGGAGGCAAGGTTCCAAAACTCCCCCAGGGAGGAGCGGCGGGTGTCCGGATGTCAACACTCACTCGGTCTGATGGGGCAGGGATTTTATGGCCGCCTTATTTACCTAACTTTGTGGTCATTTCCCTCCTACTGAGCCTCCTACTGAACCTGAGGCTGCGTTTTTTTTTTTAGGAGAAAATATTCTTATTCCTTGATGACAGAATATTCAACGTCTTTTTTTTCGTTTCCGGAGACAAAAGTCAACTCCATTTTGTCCTTGCCTAAACAATATCCAACACATTTCACCCAAAACACAGATTCCTTGATCGACTCTCACGGTCCACACTCCATGACGCTTATTGCTGACGTTTACTCAGTTATTGATATAGTACGCTATGTGAGCTTCCATCATTACTAATATTAATTGTTATAGTATGTACTGTAATTGTCATGTTATTTTCCCCGTCTGGTTGACATAGACATACAGACGATGATATCTTGATGTGATGACTTTTTTTTTTGCTGACTCTTCTTTCACTTCTTCGTGTTTCTTATTATGTTTCTTCTTCCATTTTCACGTTGTCTCCTTAACTTATTTCTTTTCTTCTTCCTCCTCACATTTTTCCTTCTTGTTCTTCTTTTTCATTTTATTTTGCTGTCTTCTTCTTCTTCTTCTTTTTCATTTTATTTTACTGTTTTCTTCTTCTTCTTCATTTTTATTTTACTGTCCTTTTCTCCTTTCTTTTATCTTCATCTTCATTTCTTATTATTATTTCATTATCATCTTCTCTCTTCTTTCTTTTTTCGTCTTCTAACGTTTCTTCACCTCTCAAAAGTATTTCACCCGGGCGATAGTTTATCACATTTCCTGGTTAAGCAGAAGACAAGGAAACCGTCCCCTGTGTTTCCCTCTCTCCCTCACTCATCACTAAGAGGCTTAAGTTTTCAGTGGGATGCGATCCGGCTGTCGCTAAAGCCTCCTTGGGACTGAGTACCGTCTGTAGAAGGCTTCAGTGACATGTAGACCCATTTGTAAAGTGAGAAAAGGGTCACAGTGTTGAAGCTCTCAGTGGGTTGAAGAACTATTTGAGGAAAGGTCTCAACAGGATATCAAGCCATTTGTAGAAGAATTCAGTGGGGTGAGGGCCTATTGTTAAAGCCTTCAGGAGGGCGAGACCCGTTGCTGAAGCATTCAGTGTAGGAGAGACGCTTTTGGGTAGATATCTGGTTTGGTAATCCCTAGGCATGTGATTATTGCAGTAAGAATTTTATTTTCACTTTAGTTATAATTTAGTTTCATCATTATTGTGACTGATGAACTCTATAAGATTAATGAGTTTTCTTTGTTATTATTATCACTAAAGGCAAAGATGAAACAATAATTAAACAGTATGATATGTTGTTTGTCAGTGTCTGCGCCGACCTACCAGCCACATGTAGGAGGTCTTCATGTCATAACCAGATCTTGACACCCTTGTTTTATCATCTTCTATGTCAAAACATTTACCCCACGTTCCCTCCTCTCTCTTCCTCCCAACCCATCACACCACCCCCCTATACCTTCTCTTCAAGTCTTTCCTCCTTTACCTGACATCATCCACATTTGATAAGTAGGACAGTAATTACGCTAATTATGTTAAATTATGGTACATATCAAACACTTAAAAGTCGAACAGTGTATCTTTTTCCGTGAGCGCTTAACGTGTAAAACATAAGACAGTGGGAGGCGCAGCTCGTGAAGAATAATGAAAAATTGGTCTGTGCTGCGTCAAACTAGACTTGTAAAAAAAAACAAAAAAAAACAAAAACATTCTCCTAGGCGACAAAGAAAACATTCCCAGTCAAGTCGGGAACGGTAGAAACTAAGTGACAACTATAGGCAGATATATCACATAATGTACAATGAAAGACAAAAGACGTGTCGTGAAATTTTGGTGAAAACATATGCCGAAAGGCTAAAACTTTTGGTGTGCTCTGCCTTGTGGTAGGGCTCTCATAATGTTTCACGAGTTATATTTTATCTTCGGACAAAACCGCGACACGACTTTTGTCTTTGATTGAACATGAAGTACAAGTCGATATATTTTTCTTTGACTAAGCTTTAAGATGCGGGCAAGTCTTAGGTGCGCACAAACTCTTGATAGCTTTACACTGTGTTGAAGGTGACCCCTGCGAAGTAGTGTGTGGTGATA